AAAACGTCAGCTTTCCTGCTCCTCTGATGCTGCTTGACCTGCTGTGTTCATCCAGCTCTACACCTTGTTATCTCAGATTCTCCAGCATCTGCAGTTCCTACTATCTCTGAAACAAAAGCAGGTCACTTGACTCATGGTGACTAGTTTTTTTTGTTCATGGGATGAGATAGTCCTCTGATGTATCTCCAGGGCCTCGCAAATTTATCCCACTTAAAGTAACTATCCAATTCCCCTTTGAAAAGTATTACTAAGTCTGTTTCAATAATCAGAGAGATGCTAGCATTCAGTAAAAGTACGTCTCTCCATCTTGGGAAACGTAAATGATAATCCTCTGGTTTAGGCCATGTCTGGAGGATATAATGGCATTGGCCTGAAGATGGGGCTACAAGGTATCTTTGGATTTGCTTGTTTCCTCAGGTGTATCCCCAGGCTTGTGGAGGCAAGACAACAGCTCAAACAGGGAAGAATTAACATGCAAACCTGGCCAGTTCCAAGCCCAGGGAAACCTCTGGAACCTACTCAGTCCAGAAAACCTAATACTACAAGTTCTGAGGACAAGGACAATAAGTCTGGACAATGTAGCATGTGCACCTAGAATGAAGAGAAACATGCTGCTAAAGCTTTTCACTTTGCACCAATGCAAAAGTGCCAAATTTCAACAATCTCACTATATCTACTATAAGAGAAAAAGGTGTTGATTGGAAGTATTCAAGTTCTGTACTGACAAGCAACTATCTGTATGTTTGGAGCATCTGCAAATCAAAACACAAAAGTGTCAGAAAGTAAAACAAATTAGCAAACTCATAGAAAGATGTTACTTTGATTTATTTCTACTTTCCACCACATTAGTCCATTTATACTAAGCAAGAACCCAACAAATAACACGAACGCAATCTACCCATTTTCTGTGACATTGCTTGAGGGAATTATTACACAAGAATTAGGAGCAGGAGTACGTCATTTTTCCCACTAAATATGCTCTGTATTTCAATGGGATCATGACTATTTTGACTTTAGCCATAACTCCACTTTTCTGCCTGATGTCCAAAACTCTTGTCTCCTTTGTTGATCAAAAATCTGTCTAGTTCAGCCTTGAATATATTCAATAATCCAGTCTCCATTGTTTCTGTGGAAGAAAATTCAAAAGACTAAGAACACTCTGAGAAAAGAAATTTCTTCTCATCTCCAACATGAATAGGAGAATCTCTATTATTAAGCCGTGCCCCAGTTCTAGATTCACCCTTGAGACAAATCATCCTCCTAGTATCTAATGTCAAGCATCCACAAACTGTTCCATGCTTAATTAAGATCACTTCTCATTTCTCTAAGTTCCAATGAGTATAGGCCCATCCACTCAAGCCTTCTTTAAAAGGCAAAATATCCATCCTAGGAAACCTACGCTCAGTTCGCAACAAACAACTACACCTCCCAGTCGCGAACCATTTCAACTCCCCCTCCCACTTCTTGAACGACATGTCCATCCTGGGCCTCCTGCATTGCCACAACGACGCCACCCGAAAGCTGCAGGAACAGCATCTCATATTTCGCTTGGGAACCCTGCACCCCACAATGTGGACTTCACAAGCTTCAAAATCTCCCCTCTCCTGACCGCATCCCAAAATCAGCCCAGCTAGTCCCCGCCTCCCTAACCATTCCTCCCACCTCAAGCCCCACCCCCATCTCCTACCCACTAACCTCATCCCACCTCCTTGACCTGTCCGTCCTCCCTGGACCGACCTATCCCCTCCCTAACTCCCCACCTACATTCACTTTCACTGGCTCCATCCCTGCCTCTTTGACCTGTCTGTCTCCTCTCCACCTATCTTCTCCTCTATCCATCTTCTATCCACCTCCCCCTCTCTCCCTATTTATTTCAGAATCCCCTTCCCCTCCCCCATTTCTGAAGAAGGGTCTCGACCCGAAACGTCAGCTTTCCTGCTCCTCTGATGCTGCTTGGCCTGCTGTGTTCATCCAGCTCTACACCTTGTTATCTCAGATTCTCCAGCATCGGCAGTTCCTACTATCTCCAGAACATCCTCTATGCTGCTTTCATTGCACCAGTTCCCTCAGAGTCATACAGTTGTATAACACGGAAACAGACCCTTCAGTCCAACTCGTCCGCACTGACCAGACATCCCAATCTGACCTAGTCCCATTTGCCAGCGTTTGGCCCATATCACTCTAAACCCTTCCTATTCATATACCCATCCAATGCCTTTTAAATGTTGTAATTGTACCCGTCTCCACACTTCCTCTGCCAGCTTGTTCCATACATGCACTACCCTCTGCAGGAAAAAGTTACCCCTCTGGTCTTTTTTAAATCTTTCCCCTCTCACCTTGAACCTATGCTCTCTAGTTTTGGACTCCCCAGTTCTAGGAAAAAGACCTAGGCCATTCACCCTATCCACGTCCCTCATGATTTTGTTAAGAAATGAGACCAAAACTGCACAGATTACTCCTAGTACAATCTCAACAACGCCCAGTAGGCTTGAGAAACCTTCTGCGTCCAAAATCTGATATTGTCAGCTGTGACTGGGAGAGTGTCCAGAAAATTTAATATCATTACAGACCCTTCCACTGGGGATACCACTAGTAATCTATCTGCTAGCGGGAGGCAGCTCAATGCATCCGCATTCGTTACTCGGCTTCCCGGACGGTGTTCTAACTTGTAATTATAAGCGCTTTGAGATCCTCCTACCAGTTAATTTTGGCTGGGACTTTAGGAGACTACCTGTCAGATGAAGACAAGTTTGGGTGCTGGGAAATGACAATTACACAAGGCCTAAACTGAGCAAGAATAAGCTCGAGTGGGGAATAAGGCAACATGTAAAAATAGACCCATTTCCTCATCAGTGAACCGCTCTCAAGTCTACAGGAAAACTTACTCACCACAATATCTGTTAATGTTACTCTGATGTTACCCCAGGTACTTACACTCTGTCTTGATGGCTGTGATGTTAATCGGCACATGGGGGTGCCGTGCTGCCTGTTGCAAAATGTCTTGACATAGATGCCTGGCCGTTCTTGTCAGTTTGTTTGTATGCAGATAAAAGGCCTGCCGTGTCTTCAGTGCGAACTTGGGGCTACTGCTGTTCCTTACCGGCAGACCCTGGGCATTCTTGGGAGAAAAGTATTACAGCAATTGTTAAAATGGAATCACAGTAAAAATGAACTGAACTGGAGGGTTCTGCACAGACAACTCAGTTGGAATTGATGGTGCAGCAAGGGTCTGTGCTGCAGACAATCTTCTGGTAACTGTCCTACCTTAGAGGGAGGCGCATAAAGTAATCACTTCCTTACATAAAAATGAGGGAAGAAAGATCATCAAGGGCAGCTGGAGGCTGCACTAAGATCTCATTATCAAGAAATGCCACTGTAATTTAAATACATTAATGATGACTAATGCCTGCATTTATATAACACCTCATCACATGCATATGCAAGTTGGACAGCCAATTTAGGCATACTACTAACAGTACTGATTAATGAACAGGATTGAGATAAGCAATCAATAAATCTATTTAGTAAGGCTTTGGTTGAGTAATATTAGTTTGAACACTGGAAGAACACTATAATGGCACTGGTGGCACTGCTGCCTCACAGAGCCAGGGACCCGGTTTTGATTCCACCCTCGGCCTCTCTGTGTGGAGTTTGCACATTCTCCCCGTGTCTGTGTGGGTTTCCTTCGGGTGCGCCGGTTTCCTCCCACAGTCCAAAGGTGTGCAGACTAGATGGATTGGCCATGCTAAATTTTTCACGGCGTTCAGGGATGCGTTGATGGGTTACAGGGAAAGGGTAATGGGTCTGGGTGGGGTGCTCTAAGGGTCGGTGTTGACTTGTTGGGCCGAAGGGCCTGTTTCCACAAAAAAGGTTAAAAAAAAAAATTTTCGGCATGGTGGCTCTGTGGTTAGCATTGCTGCCTCACAGCACCAGCGACCCGGGTTCGAATCCACCCTCGGTCTCTCTGTGTGGAGTTTGCACATTCTCCCCGTGTCTGCGTGGGTTTCCTCCAGGTGCTCCAGTTTCTTCCCACAGTCCAAAGATGTGCAGGCTAGGTGGATTGGCCATGCCAAATTGTCCGTAGTGTCTAGGGATGTGCAGATTAGGTGGGTAACAGGGGGATGGGTCTGGGTGGAATGCTCTGAGGGGCAGTGTGGACTTGTTGGGCCGAAGGGCCTATTTCCACACTCTAGGGATTCTATGATTCTAGACTTTCAATCGAATGGTGCTGTGCAATCTTCAATCTCATCAAAAAAGCCAGATTTAATATCGTGTATGATTTTCAGCGATTCCCAACAATGCAGCATTCCTTCAGCACAGCACTAACGTGTAACCAGAGACTATTCGCTTCAGGCTTTGTAGTGGAGCCTTAACCCATCAGCTTCTGACTCAAAAGGCAAGTTTGCTGCCCACGCTCAATCAAACTGACTTTGCAAACTGTTTGTCATCGAGCCAATTTCAATCAGGGTAGGATGACAAATGCTACAAATTCTCCACAGTGTGACGGGGTGGTGTCCCACCCAAGGGTCTGAATGTAGACACTGGGCAGGGACTAGATCAAATCCCATTGCAATCTATTCAAATGCTTTAAAAAGCAACAACTTGGTTACCACGCACAGACAGTAATAGAAGGCCCTTGAGTGAGGAGTTGGAGGCTGTCTGTAGATGTGGACTGCAACAAGCAGTCAATCTCTTCAGGTAGAAAAGGAAAGAGAATGAACCAACAGACAGCAGCTGAAAAATTGGTGTGATCTAAAGCACTTGGAAGTTACCAGGTTATTCCGGTTTGGTCCAGGCCTTTCGCCATCTAGCCGGGTTGGCATCTTCAGGCCACCGTACTTCTTCCAATAGGCCCAGCAGGCTGCACAGAGCCGGCATTGCATGTTGGGTGGGCCCCATGAGTACCACTGATATGACTGGTTAGCTGGTGAAACAAAAAGATGAAGTAAATTTCAAGTTTCCTCCCCTTTTGTTTATTTTGTTGTATTAATACTGGCTGATCAGGCATTCGGTACAGTCTTGGCAGGGATAAATGGGACATGATCTCAGGTTCCATAGCTTGTTAACTTAATGAGCCAACTGTATTTGAAAGGCTGGTGTAAATCAAAGACCCCTGCAAGGCTGCACCGTTAAAATGGAAGATTGACACTTGCTTCCAGTTGTCTTAAGACCCTCTTGACACAACGGTTCGATAGCTGGCACTGTCTAAAGCTCTCAAGATCACGGTCACGTTGAACCACATGATACCTTTACTTTGTGTTTCCAAGAGTACTTACTGAAACAGCTCTCGCAAGCTCGACCCGGTCCTGGCACTGCCACTGCCCCGTTTGGTGCCAGTGCACTCCCTCCATTCATTGTTCCTGTCTTTGAGCTGCTTCCATTGATCTGGTTTGGGTTTGGCTTATTACTAAAGGGCAGGGTGGGGGGGAAAAGACAAAAAAAAAAGTTTCTTTAGAGTAACACTACAGGCTGGATTTTCAGTCGGGGTAAGGAATCGGAAAGTGGGGCTGGCTCCAGGTCCTGGTCCAACACAGTAAGCTTTAGGTACATCCACTGCAATTTTCAATGATCCAGTCAGCTGAAGGCCAGAGAGTGGGGCCACCATTCAAGCAGGGATTTCGGGCGAGTTCCCAACAGGATGCCATTCAGCACTCAGTGATCAGCAGCTAGAAATGGAGGTGATTAGGTAATTCCATTGGCAATCACACTTACAGTAAGTGATTGGGATTGATAGTGTACAGAATTTTTCTCAGTTAATGGTCATCCATTCATTGCATTTTGCTGAGGAAATAATCCTATTTGTCTCCAAACTGTGCTATGCTTTCAGTAATTACAGTTTGTAGAGATCTTACTTAAGTAGACTCCAACAAAGTAAATGGTCTTTGTTTAGCACAAGCTCTGCTTCCCGCACCTACAGTGTGCACCAGCTCAACTATCAGCTAGATAGTGAAAGCAGGAGGCCCTTGCTTATATGACAGATTCTCGGGACCATTTACTTCTTTTTTTGGCAATTGCAAACAGCAAAGCCCATAAACAGTATATTTCAGGATAAACTGCCTTTCAGTTTGTAGTGGAATTGGTTGAGTGCAGAACTTTGGCGAGGACATCACCCTGCTCTAACAGTACAGCTATGGAATCTTTGGTGGTCATCTGAACAGGAAGACATTGCAACAATTTAAGCAGAACCTCAAGAGACAGCCATCCCTCAATACCACTGTGAAGAACAAAAGCAATACCTTTAGCCCCACCACATTTCTACCCTACTTTCTAGTTTTTAATCTCCCCACTTCATTCATTTATTTTGGCTTTTTGAATTTTAACTTGTGGTATACAGGTTTTCTGTATATCTGAAGAGGGTTAATGATTAACTTGTCGGTACTTCTGTAGCCATGGTGATTTCTTTTTATTAAAATAATCTGAGATAGTATAGGAAGGCTAATGAGAATTTGTTTATACTGGGGGAGTTTCCGAGTGAATAAAGTAAAGGATGTCGTGCATTAGGCTTGCAGACATAAGTTTCTAGGATCATTTATTTGGACTTATGGGAAACACCCATCGCTTGGGGGTAAAATAACTCTTTATGGTAACTGTTTTGGACAGCTTGCAGAAGTCTTCGCCGAATCTAGATGTCTAAAACAGTAGCTCCTGAGAATGGGAGGAAGTTTAGGAATGTTAAGAAAAAGGTTACTTCAGGGCAAGGAGTTTAGTTAAAAAAAAAGTTGCAGACCAGAGGTGTTTGGTTAAGACCCTGAAGGGGTTATCCAAAGCTGAGAAAATCTGAGCTCAATTGTATGAAGCTTACAGGAACAGGCTATCAGATTCTTGAGACAGGGCATTGAAGCAACAGTTAAATTAAGCCTTATAAATGTGAAATAGAAAGGAATTCTCGCTGGTAAGCACTATAAAGGAGGATATTTTGGGAATTAATATGATTGTATTGTACCCTGTGCTTCAAAATCATTAGAATTATGCAATATATAAACAGTTAGCTTTATTCTATTTTATCTTTATTACCTTTGCGTAATAAACTTTTCAAAACAGCTTTATGGAAGCACGGCACAGAAAATAACCTAAAAATAATCGTGGGGTTTCCATCTCCACTTTGAAAGTCTCATCTATAGTCCTCTGACTCTGGCCTCCTGGGCATCATGTTGTTGTTTTGCCCAATCTCTGGCAGCCATGCCTTTATTTCTAGCTTCTAAACTCTGGAATTGAGAATCTCAAACTTTTCACTAGATTTGTCTCCGGCAGCTAAAGAGGTGGCACTCTTTCTCTGAGTCAGAAGATTAGAGTTTAAGTCCCACTCCAGAATCTCGAGCACAAAACTCTGGACTGTTACTTAACTGCAGAACTGAAGAAGTCCTATACTGTCTTTCAGATGTGATTTTAAGCAGGGTGTAAAAGATCCCAAGGCATCCTTTCGGAGAACAGGAACAGAATTATCCCTGGAATGCTGGCCAATATTTTCCATAAACAACATCAGCTCATTCCATCATTATCATACTGGTGTGCGTGGGACCCTTGTGTATGTGTTTTCTACATTATAACAGTGACCACAGTTTAAGTTATTTCTTGCCTATTGCAAGCTCTGTGATAGCTTGATGTTTTGAAATGAGCTGAAATTTTATTTCTTTAAAGCCCTTTCTTAAATTCACCTTTGACCCAGCCCAATACCCCTTTCTTTAACTATGTTTCTATTAAGTGCGCGTAAAATACAATGTTTGTCCATATATAAATGGTCCAGATATGATTGTTCCAAATACGGGTGAAGCAGCATGAATTCAGAGATTTTTTTTAAAAATCACAGCAGCTGTACAATACATGCATCAATATAGTGATACATGGAATTAAGAAGATCCCATTACCACAAAAGCTTACAATTCAGTAACCAGTAATGACTGTTAGAGAAAGTGAAATGTGATGCAAATAGAGACACAGCCCAGTATTGACAGGGCCTGATGCTAGTGGTAACATGGACTAATACAAACAGGTCCCTTTTGACATTTTGCAAGCAACTGAATTGGACACAGATGAGAAGGTGAGAAAAGAAGTGCTTACTAGTTAGGAATGTACACTTGCTTCAGTTTGCTTTCTGCTTCAGCTGCTTTCAACCGTTTCTAAATGAGAGATAATGAGAGATCAGAGCTAATTCTTGGTCAAAAAAAAGGCCAGTGGACTGGCGGCTCAACTTATCAACAGTTACAACTTGTTCTTTAATAAGCCTCAGCAGTTCATCAACTGCAATGACCTGAATTTACCATTTGAGCAGTTGCATAAAAGTCTGGTTAGCAGTGAAATATGACATCGGTGTCACAATTCCCATGAGAATCACTGCAGGAGTCAGCTGGTCAATTGAATAAATAGGTTGCTTAAAAGTTCGAAATCAAACAGGTGGCAAGACATGTGGTTCCAAGGTAAATGCTGATCAAGTTACAATAGCAGCAAAAGCATATCTGAAACAGTTTGCTACAAACAGTGGCTGACAAATGGTGCCTGTAACAAGTTTACAAAACCTACAACAGCATCTTAAAAACAGACAAAGTCATTGTTAAGTATGTAAAAGTTACCTGTTGGACATATCGGTCAGTCGTTTTCCACATGTAATAATACTCTACGATGCTGGTTAATGACTTCCAGGGCAACTAAGACATATGTCAAATAGAAAGTGTTGTTAAACTCAAAAGCTGGTCTGAGATGCAACATTAATTCATCATTTTTGATAAACAAGTTAAAAAAAATACAATGTCTCTCAAATTCATATATTTATTTTCCATGGAGAGGCCAAACACATCCCGTTCATTGGAACTGCACAAATTTCAGTAATTTGTTTTATGTCAAGTTCCAAGTGCAAGTATTCTGAAGCCATCTCGCACAGAAGGAGACTACAATGTTCTCAGTCTACCATCAGGCTCCCTTGGTCCATACCACGAAAGGACTTTTATTCTGTGAAGTAGCAGGTAGGATGCAATGATGAATGAAGCACCATTTCAGCTCTGTGCTCCCCTTATTTGGCTTACGGGAGGCGTATCCTGACTAAGACTGCAAGATGAACAGAAAGCAGGCTGCATTTAGCACTGCCTCCCAGTGATGCAACATGCAACAGAAGTTAGAAATGGGTCACTAAAGATGTGGAAATCACCTGCCTTCTTGTGCCAGGTACAACTTACACTGCTTCTGATAAAACCAGTCACTTATTTACTAATAATGCAAATAAATTAAAATTGCATCGCCTGGGTCATAACCAGACTTTAGCATGCAGAGACCAACAAAGCTGGGGTTGTTCTGCTCTCAAACAGAGGGTTGAAATTTGAAGAGATGTTTATTATCATGAAAGGGTTAGGTACCTAGTAAATAAGGAGAAAACACTGTAAAGAGCTAATGAGTTGACAAGACAGGACACAGTGTTAATGGCTCATGCCAACACTTAAGCTCCGCGTAAGTCTTCTTGTATCCAACTTTGCTGTATTCCATCAACATTACCTCCTATCCCTTCATGAGATGTGGGTGTCATTGGCTGAGCCAACATCCATTGCCCATTCCTAACTGCCCTGGAGAAGGGGCTGGTGAGTTGTGCTACTCCAGTCCTTGGGACGTAGGGACAGCCACAATGCTATTAGGAAGGGAGATCCAGGGATTTGACTCTGTGATGCTGAAAGGATCATGATATATTCCCAAGTCAGAATGGTGCATGACTTGAAGGAGAACTTGCTGGTGATGGTTTATGCCATTTATCTGCTGCCTTTACCTTCCTGGTGCTTTGGCAAGAGCTTTGGTCTGTTCCTGCAGCTCATCTTGTGGATGGTTCACCCTGCACCACTCTGGGTTGGTTTTGGATGTAGTGAATGGTGAAGGTACTGGATGGAGTGCTAACCAAGTGTGCTGCTTTTACTCAATGGTGTTGAGCTTCTGGAGTGTTGTAGGAGCTGCACTCATCCAGGCAGGAGGGAGTATTCTATCCAACTCCTGACATAGCCTTGCAGATGGTAGACAGATTTTGGGAAAAAAGGTGGTGAGTTCCTCACTGCAGAATTCCTGGCCTCTGATCTGTTCTTGTAACAACAATACTTATACAGCTGGACTAGTTAATAACTGGTTAATAGTAACCCTCAGGATGTTGATGGTGAGGAATTCAGTGATGGTAATACTATTGAATGTCAAGGAGCAATGGTGAGATTGTCTCTTACTGGAAATGGTCACTGCCTGGCACTTGTGTTAGCATGCAAACGTTACCTTCCCTCATGTACTCACCAGCTTTTCATTTATTGACCTCCTGCTGTTCTAGATATCAGCACTGTTATCACATGTATTGACAATTGATGGAGTTTTATTACGTAACGATATGAAGCTATTGTGGTATATGGTATCAAGGTGGGTAAATGAAAATAAGATCAGATCAGCCATAATCTAACTGAACAGCTGAATAGAGTTGAGAAGCTAAATGGCTTTCTAATGCAAACCTGGCTAGTGTAAAGGCAGACTTGGTGTTAATTTAAATCTCGGTAGGGTTGGGGTGGGGGGAGCTCTCGCATGTTGTCCACCTTCGCGCTACTTACAAAATCCTGTTGGATGTCTTCAAAGTCCTTCCCATACTTCTCCAGCGCTTCCTCAAATAGGTTGGCCTCTGAAGCAGACCACTCTTCCATTTCGTCTCGGCAAAGCACCGGCCCACCCTGTGGAACTAGCGCAGAGATGGCCTGCGAAACCTCATAGGTGCTTTTGTACAAGGTGTCCATGGCGTGAAACTAGCAATTTAGAGAGGGAGGCAATTAAAAAAAGTCAAGTGAAAGTGGTGGTGAACAAAGCTTCACAAACTGCTCCTCTTCACTGTGTGAGAGATGGTTCGGAGTTCCACAAGATACCCATTTCCCTCCTTTGACAAAAGATTAAAAACAAAACTTTCAAGTGCCTCCTTTCTGTCACCCCCTTCCTTCCCAACAGATGGAGTATAAGAAGATTTATGATGTGATCTACTATCCCTACAGTTTACTAACATTATTTGTCAGCAATAGAACTCTCATCTCCAAGTCAGAAGGTCATTGGCGTAAATGTTTCTCCAGACGTTTGACATTCTAATACATTACAGAGGGGAAGTGCTGCACTGTCAGGGGCAACTATCTTTCAGACAAGACAGTGAACTGTCTTTTCTGTCAGTGGGATGTAAAAGATGCCATGGGAGCATTTTGAAGAATTATCCCCAGTGTCATGGTAACACCTTTTCTGCAACCATCGTTAAATACATGTATTCTGGTCATGTTTTTGATTTATATTCAGAGGACATTGCTTAACTAAGCTGTGTTTCCTCCTCACAACAGCGACAACAGTCATAAAATATTTCACTGTATTTATAATTATTTAATTTATATTCCAAATAGGTACCAATGACATAGGCATGAGTAAGAAAATGGTTCTAACCATTCAGCATGAGGAATTAGGCACTAAACTGAACAGCAAAACTTCAAGGGCAGTAATCTCTGGATTATTACCTGATTCTTTTACCAATAGGTAGAAGACACAAAATTAGGAAAATTAATATCTGAAAGCTCTAGAACCAGTGAAGTAGAAGTGGGTTCCAGTCTGTGGGGCATTGGCATCAGTACTACAGAAAGTGGAGACTGCACTGATGGAATAGTCTTGCATCTGAACCATGCTGGAAATAGTGTTCCAGTAAACCACATAACTGGGGAGGTAAAGAGGTCTTTAAACTAAATGATGGGCATACGGAATCATGCTATTTGATTTGTTACAAGCCAAGGAGTAGAGACAAGTCAGGAGAGCAAAATAATAACATGGAGAATGAAGAGACAAAGGGAATAAAGCTAAGAAAACATCAACAGTCAAGGTTGTTGATTTGCTCGCCGAGCTGGCTGGATATAGTTCAGATGTTTCATCACCATGCTAGGTAGCACCATCAGTGCAGCCTCCGAAGAAGCGATGACGTTCTACTCCACTTAGTATTTATATGATCCAGTCTGTTGAGGCGTTTTGTGTCATTTCCGGTTCTTTTTTGCAAGGGTTTGTATATGGGGTCTAATTCTACATGTTTATTGATTACATTATGGATGGAGAATCAGGCCTCTCGGAATTCCCATGCATGTTGGCTTGGGTTAGGATGGTCACGTCATCCCAGTTAAATAGATGGTCTTCATTTTCCGAAACAAAACACCTCAACAGACCAGATCATATAAATACTAAGTGGAGTAGAACAACATCGCTTCATCGGAGGCTGCACAGTCAACGTTACCTAGCATGGTGACGAAACATCTGAACGATAACTAGCCAGCTCAGCGAGCAAATCAACAACCTCACCCGCAACCCAAGCTACAAATCTTCGCAAGAACCTTAAATCAACAGTCAAGGCTAGATGCTGTAAAAGACAACAAAAAAAGGCAAAACTAAAGGCTCCATATCTGAATGTACATAGTATGTATAACAAATTAAACCTATAAATGTGATCTGATAACAATTTTAGAAACAAGGTCCTGAATATTGAGGGATATATAACATTCACGATAAATAGGAAGCTAGTAAAGGTGACTGGATAACACCATTAATCAGCGATAGCACTGGCATAATAGTTAAACATGTATTCAATTCAGGGGGTTTGGGGTGTAACTTTGGTGTGGGTGGAGATGAGAAATGATATGGGGAAGAATTTGCCATTGGGAGGGTCAGCAGGCCTCCTAACAGTAAGCACAATGTAAGACGAAACATACAAAAATAAATATTGGTGCTTGCGATAAAGGTAATCATACGAAATTTGAATCTATATACAAACATGAAAAATCAGATTGGCAATGGTATCTTGGAAGAGGAGTTCATAGAATACCCTTGTAAATTAGAGCAACACATTCTGGAATAAACCAGAGGACAGTTATACTAAACTATATATTGTTCAATGTGACAGGATTAATTTGTGACCTCAGAGATAAGGACCCCTAGGTAGTATAATATGTTTTGAATTTTACATAGAGTCATACAGCATGGAAACAGACCCTTCGGTCCAACTAGTCCACACTGACCATGTTCCCAAACTAAACTAGTCTCACTTGCCTGCATTTGGCCTATACACCTACAAACCTTTCCTATTCACTTACTTATCCAAATGTCTTCTAAATGCTGCATCACCACTTCCTCTGGCAGTTCTTTCCACAGACGAACCACTCTCTGTGTAAAAAAGTTGCCCCTCATGTCCATTTTTAAAACTTTCTCCTCTCACTTTAAAAATATGTCCCTAGTTTTTAACTCCCCCACCCTAGGGAAAAGACCCTTGCTATTCACCTTATCTATGCCCCTAACCAGTTTGAAATGGAGGATTGGGTTAAAGACAAATTTCTAAATTTACGCAATAGTAACTACATGGGCATGAAAGCTGAGCTAGCTACTGTAAACAGGGACACGACTAGGGGATAGATCAATTGGTAAGCAAAGGCAGACATTTAAGGAGAGATGTATATTCCTACTATGAAGAAAAATTCTAAGGGGAGGATCTATTATTCGTGATTAGTTAAAGAGGCTAAGGAAGCAGCAAACTTAAGGAAAAAGCATATTATTGTGCAAAGGTGATTGCCTGGTCAGATGACTGGGCAGAATATAAAGAACAGCAGAGAATTACTCAAAGATTAAAGGGAGAAAGAAATTAGAGTATGAGAGGGAGCTAGCTAGAAAGGTAAAAATGGATAGCACTTGTGGTTATCGGAAAGCCTGTAGATGTACTGTACCTTAATTCCCATTAGGCATTTGATAAGGAGCCACAGAAAAAAGTTATTGTGCAAAGTCAAAGTTCATGATGTAGTGCGCAACATATTCACATGATTAGAAGACTGGCTGGCAGAAAACAGTGAGTATTTATAAATATTTTTTTGAATGGTAGGAAATTACGAGTGGAGTCCAGCAGGGGTCTGTGCTGGGGCCTCAGCTTTTTTTCGCAACTTATACCACAGATTTAGAAGAGAGTGAAGCCACTGTAGCTAAATTAGCAAATAACAAAATGATAAGGAGGAAAGTATGTTGTGAAAAGGACTGAAGTAGATTCCAGACTGACATTTATAGGTGGAGTGAGTGGGTAAAAATATGGAAGGTGGAGTATAACATCGAAAAATGTGTAGTTGTTCTGTCTGGCAGGAAGAATAGGAAAAAAAAAGGTGTATAACTAAAATGGAGGACAACTGCAGAATTCCGAGATGCGGAAAGCATTGGGCGTTCCAATGCATGAGTAACTAAAAGGGAGTAGGCAGATACAGTGAGTAATAATTGGAGGCTATTGGAATACTATCCTTTATTACGAGAGGAACTGAATGTTATGCTTGTTGTACAGGGCACTGGTGAGACCACATCTGGGGCACCATGTATGGTTTTTGTCTCCTTATTTAAGGAAAGATGTAAATGGATGGGAGACAATTCAGATAATTGGACTGAAAGCTGGAATAAGGTGTCTTATGAAGAAAGGTTGGATATTGTGTTTTTTTCCACTGGAGGTTTGAAGAATAAAGGGTAACTTGACTTAAGTATAAAAGATCTTGAGTGGTTTTAACAAGGTAGATGTGGGAAGCATGTTTCCTTTGTGGGAGAGTTCAGAACTAGGGGATCACTGTTTTAAAAAATAGCGGTCTCCCTTTATGGAGAGAAACTAGGATAATATTTCTTCTGAGGGCTATGCTATTTTTGAACCCTCTGCCTCAGAAGGCAGTGGAAGCTGGATTACTGAATATTTTTAAGGTTGTCGTAGATCGATTCTATTGTCTAACAAGAATCTAAGGTTATCAGGGATAAGTGGGAAAAGAGGTGGTGCAAACACAAACAGATCAACCACGATGTTATTGAATGATAGGACAGATTCCAAGAACAGAACAGTTAAAAAGAACACTTAAAAAGATCAAATCATTCAGTCAATGTAGAAACTTCACGAGCATTTTGTCGCTCATATCACGACAGAAAATAACAGTTGGCTGAAGTAAAGTTGAGTAGCATGGTTTATACAGAATGAAGCAGACTCACTCGGGTAAGAACAGCTAGAAGAACTGATTTGAGACCAGATGATGGGCACCCTGGGGAAAGTGGCTATGGAGGGCTGTCTGCAAGGACCTTGTTGAAGGACTGATCAGAGGAGATCCTGAAACTTCGAGAGCAGATTAACTGCAAGGCATTTTGGTAACGGCAGCCTCTCTACTAGAATGGAGGCGATTCTCTTTCCTGTGTTACAACTGTACCAGTCCAGTTCCTAATGGACCTGGGTAGACAGTCATAAACTGATCTTTTATGGTTTTCATTGGTAATCTCCCTCCAAGATCAGGGAGTGGTATGGCAACTGTGAAGCACAGTGGTGAGTGTTCCTCTGCAGTTGGAACTGAGGTACATTGTTGGAGCAGAAGAAAGGTTCTTTGCTCTCTGTCTAACTCATACTGTAGCTGACCTGATCCTTTGATGGGATGTGTAGAGGGAGTTTTAATACGTATCAAGCAAATACTGTATCTGACATTGGAATGTTTGATGGGACAATATTAAGTGAACATTACTTCTGTATCTAACCAATATAGTACTTATACTGGGAGTGTTGATTGTCAGGGGGTTTGAATCTGAAATCGGAAGAGTTCCAACTCATGTGTTGAAATTTCTCATATAAACACAAGTACAAAAATGTTGGAAATGGTCAGCAATGGAGTTGATGCAATCTGAGGAATGGAGTTAACACTTCAGGTTCATGAAATTTGTTCCTCTCTTTCTCACCACAGATGTTGGCAGAGCTGCTGAATATTTTCAGCACTGTGTTTTAATTTCAGATTTTCAACATCCATAGTATTTTTCTATATAGTAGCATCCATAGTATTTTTCTATATAGTAGTATCCCTCACCTTGAATGCAAGAAGAAAAATCATGAAAGGCTTTAATGAAACAGAAGCAAGCAGAGAGCAGAACATGCTGAATGATCGCCCACAACCATCATAAATAATAATTGCTGGACTACGTTTTCCACACAGGAAACAAATTTAATACCTGAAATCTCTTTAGTAATCAACATCTTTAAGGCCTTAGTAATAGTAATCCTTGACTACTATTTCCAATAGTGACCGGGTGCAATGTTTATGTTGTCACCTAACTATAAGATCCACAAGGAGAGAAAGTGAAGTAGGTCACTAGGTGCCTCAAGCCTGCTGTGCCATCCAATAGGATCATGGGTGATCTGACACCCCTCATGTCCACTTTCCCATATTTTCCCAATAACCCTTATTCCTCTATTGCTCAATAATTCAGATATCCTTCTCAGACTTAAATATTTCTGAGCAGGTCACACAGGCTAGAAGGGTCTGGCAGTGTAACATTCAGGATCAGAGAGAGCATGAATAGAATTGATGAGGAACAAAATTAGGAACTTAATTTTAAGAAGAGTATTAGCCAATTTCAACTTTGGGACATGAGGCTTGATTTAACATCTCATTCAAGAGATGGTAACCTGAAAAATGCAGCACTGTCTCAGTACTCAACTGGAATGTCAGCCAAGATTTGTGCTCATATCTTCAGAGTGGAACCTGACCTTCCGATCAGAGGCAGAAGTGCTACCAACTGAGATATGACAGATACTGCTGGTCCAACTGAACAGTGAGGTTTGCAACAAAACCATTTCAAAAACTGAAACACAAAGATATGTATATCACAGTCCATTCAGTCCATCATGTCCATGCCAGCCTAAAAAGAGTCATTGTTATGATTACAGAACAGACTACCAAATTCGTTGTTATGATCTTGGCCAAGATCACCAAATTCTGTTACAAATCTTGTTTGGAGCCATAAGATCTGGGAGCAGGGGACAGCAATTCAGCCCGTTGAGCTTGCTCCATCATTCAACTCAATCATTGCTGATCTCATCTTGACCTCAACTCCACTGTCCATAATCCTTCAACCTGTTACTAATTAAAAATCAGTCTACCTCCTCCTCAAATTTACTGTTTCCCAGTATCCACTGCACTCTGTAGTGAATTCTACAGATTCATGATACCTTGACAGAAGTAATTTCTCATTATTTCTGTTTTAAATCCGATACTCCTTATCCTAAACTATGAGCTCTTGTCCTAGTTTGCTCCACATGAGGAAACATCCTTTCTATCTCTACTTTGTCCATCCCCTTTAACATCTTATATGCCTCAATCAGATCTCCTCCCATTCTTCTAAAACTCCAGACAGCACAGACCTAAAGTGCTCAATTTCTTTTCATAAGACAAACCCCTAATCTCTGGAACCCATCTACTGAACCAACTCCAAACTGCCTCCAATGCAACTACACCCCTCCTCAAGAAAGGGGAGCAAAACTGTATGAATACTCCAAGTTTGGTTTCACTAATGTTTTTTACAGTTGTGCAACACTTCCCTACTTATATACTCTATTCCTTAGCAATAAATATCAAACTTCCTTATTACCTGCTGTACTTGCATACTAATTTTCTGCAATTCATTCTCAAAGACACTCAGATCCCTCTACACCAAAACACTCTGAAGCTTCTCTCCATTTAGATAATGAGTTACTTTTCAATTCTTCTGACTAAAGTTGACAACCTCTCACTTATTGACGTTAAGCTCCATTTGCCAAATTGATCTAACCTATCCATATCCGTTTGTAAATTTCTTTTTTCTTCATTGCAACCTACTAGCCCATCTATTTTAGTATCATCTGTAAATCTGGCTACAGTACCTTCTATCCCCATATCCAAGTCATTAATGTGGCACCCCATTAATCACATCTTGCCAACCAGAAAAAGACCCCTTTATCCTGACTGTCATTCTGTTAGTTAGTCAATTCTCTATCCAAACTAATAAATTACCCAAACCAATGTGATCTTATCTCTTGTATTAACCTTTTGAATGGCCAATCTCAGTTTCTGACTAAACTCTATTCCATAACTGCTTTCAGTGACCCTTGAAATGCACCAAGTGACTAATTGAAAGTCTTGCAAGATGTCCCTCTATCGCTAGGTAGGACTGAATGTTGCCACCTGATAACACTTCGAGTGTGCTCCAAATGTTACATTTCACAGAGAATGCTGTCTTTTCTGGTACAATTGGACATGCCAAAAATGCATTTCAATGGCCAATCCAATTTAATTCCACTTTCTAGCTCTTAGTCCTTATCCTATAGGCTACATGAACTCAAGTGCACACCCAAGTATTTCTTAAAATTTGAGAGGGGTTTCCACCTTTACCACCCTTTTAAGCAATGATTTCTCAACCTCTACCACCCACTGATGGAAAAGATTACTCTTCAACTCCCCTCTAAATCTCTCCACCCAGTTATTTTGCTAATGGAAATAGGTCGTTCCTATCCATGCTCTCTAGGCTCCTCATAATTTTATTCATCGAATTTAAACCTCCCTTTCAGCCGCCTCAGTTTCAAAGAAAACATATCCAGCTGATCCAATCTTTCTCCTAGCTAACCTTTTCTAATCCTAGCAATAGTCTTGTAAATCTATCAGTTAACACCATAGCTGGGAGAAAAGAGACCATAAGCAATCAATGGAGAATGGAGTCAAATGAGGAGCAATAGAGAGATATAACACACAGGAGCAGTTGCATGCCATTTCTTACCTGGGTGATATCCCTGGAGGCAGCTGCTGCACTCATGTGCAAACTAGGCTGTCTCACTGAACTACTGCAGTCTAAAGCACGGGCAAATGTACCTACAGACCTAGAAAGGGCCAGAAATGATAACACATAGTCATGTTTTGTTTGAACAATGCAGTTCCAACTAAATAAAATCTTCTTTTCAATTTTAATTGAAACATTGGTATTGGCCCATGTGGCCAATTGTTAACTGCACTCTCAAGTGGCTGAGCCAGCCATTCAGTTGTTACCAAACAGCTCATGGTAGCAGCACCTTCACTACGCAGACTGTGGAGGGTCACGAGGTTGGACCACCTCCAGCTTCTTGGTTGCAACCAGTGATGGACGATACGTGTTTGCCTTACCAGCAATACCAACACCCCTCCATTGAAATACTCAAGGGAAACTGAGACTAATTACAGCACTGGTTAAGGTAACTCATGAATCAAAGGTATTCCTGATCTGAATTTTAAGGCATGCATTATTTCTTTTTGGTGTCCTTGCCAGAAGTTATAAATGGCAGCAAAACCCCAAGGGCTACACACAGCAGACACTATAATTTCACTCCATGGCACAATGTCAGCAAGTGAGACTCAACAGCACTGAATGACACACAAATGACATGGAGCAATCATTCTTGTGAAATGGTGATAATATGACCACCAGAACTGAGCCTTAGATCACTTATCAGGCAATCAGATTATTCTTTATACTGCACCACCTTTATAAACAGCCCTACTTGTTCGCTGCACGTTGATTTGTCAGGACTTACCGAGCGACTACTAAGAACTGGTCAATCTGTTTGTCTGTCAGTGGGGTGTCACCATCCCAGATTTTGGCTTCCATTTTGGACTGATCTCTTCCATCCTCCTCTCCTGTAATGGAAGAAATTCAATGTTACTACTCATCTAGCCATAAAGTGATGGTGGGAAAATGACATTAGCTTAAATCAATTAACCTGTACAAGATCTGAGTGTCTCTAGAACAGTAGTGAAGAACGTGGATATGCATATTCCAAAACAGCTAGTTAGTGTAGGAGACAGTACACTACATCACTACATCACATAATTTGCCGTCAACCTCCTTCTTGACCTTCATTAGCTTTGCTGCTCCAACTCATTTCTGGGCCTCCATTCCAGACTGTGATAATCACTGGTGCATTGAAGGTAAGGGATTGTCATGCTACAAAATAAGTCATCCCTGTGGTGAAAACCAAAACTGTACTCTCTGTCTAAACATGAACAATGTATTACATATCATAGTGCCATGCAGGAGAAATGTTCATTAAACAAACCCAAGTGTCACTGAAGTGAGTGACCCAGAATAGGAAGTTAGTTAAAGTCCAAATGGCTTTATGTAGTAGTGTTCCTAGGGTCCCCTGGTGAGACACTGCTTTTAATATTTCAATGATCCAGACTTGGAGTAACAACATCTGGATATGGAGAAAATCCTAAGGAAGTGAATTTAATTTGGGTTTCTCCCATTTCCTAGCCCTTAGTTGGATAGAAATTGATTTTCGATGCATTCTGTGAAGGGGACTAGAAGTGTTTTAACAGCAACTTAAGTTTGTAGATGGGGCTGATAATTGTAAGATGGTACTTATATTACCTCAATGTGAGATTATACAATTTGGTAGAATGAATGAGAGGAAAGTGAAAAAATGCTAAACCTTTAAAAGGAATAAACGATCAGAAAATTTTAGGAAAACTTTAGCAGGTCTGGCAGCATCTGTGGAGAGAAAGCAGTTAACATTTTGGGTCCAGTGACCCTTCTTCAGAACCATTAACTGAAACATTAACTCTGCTTTCTCTCCAAAGATGCTACCAGACCTGCTGAGATTTTCCAGCAATTTCTATTTTTGTTTTTGATTTACAGTATTCATGGTTCTTTGCAATTTTTTATTTAGAAAAGTTTAGGAGTTTGGCTACTCTAAAAGTTGAATCACAGATTTAAAAAAAACTATAAAAACAAATTATGTAATCCTAATTTTACAAGTAATATTAGCCTTTGGTTTAGATGAGATTTTGATTGGAGTTGAAAATAAATTCCAGATATGACATTGCATTCAAAATGTCAAGAATTATCCCTACAGTTCTTCACAGAGAAAAAGACTGAAGTTACAACAACGGTCGGGCAGGAATTTTAACCAAAGCAGAAAGAACAAACTTGCAGTCGCAAAGCACCTTTCACAACCTCAGAATATCCCAAAGCACTTCACAGATAATGAAGCACTTCTGAAGCGAAGTAGACAAAGGATAATGAGTTACCCATCACTACCCAAATAACATTTGCGTCACACAAGTGCCAAGCATAACCATCTCCAACACAACAGAATTCAACCACTGTGCCTAGACATTTTCACACCTGAATCTCAAACTGTTAACACTGCCTAAGGGCTAACATTGACCAGAAACTGAACTGAACCAGTTGTATAAATATTGTGGCTATAAAAGCACTTGAGAGACTAGAAATTCTGCTCACCTCAACTCATCTCCTGTCCACTATGAGGCACAAGTCAGAGTGTGATGAAATACTTCCCACTTAGCTCGATTAGAGCAACTCCAACAATGTTCAGGAAGCTTGACACCATTCAGAACAATACAGCTCGCTTCATTAGTACCCCGATTTTCAATAAACACTTCAATAATCTCTTCCTCCACCACCAACATGCAGAGGCAGCAGTGTGTACCATCTGCAACATGCATTTCAGCAAGTCACTAAGGCTTCTTTAACAGCACCTTCCAAACCTGTCACGCCTAACACCTGAAGGTCAAGGGCAGCAGATGCATGGGAACACCACCACCTGCTAGTTCCTCTCCTAGCCACATATCATCCTGAATTGGAACTACACCCCCATTGCCACACCACCACTAGGTTGAAATCTCATAGCAATTTAGGAATGCCTACTTGGCACGGACTGCAGCAGTTCAAGAAGGTGACTCACCTTCTCAAGGGCAGTTGGGAACGGGCAATAAAAGTCCAAGCCAGTGAACAAATTTTAAAAATGAACTTTCTACTGCTATTCACTATGCAATGTTATAATCATGTCTTCATGCAAGTCCAGCAAGAGTTGTTGCAAAGAAAGCTTACAGTTGGATAACTGTGTCTGATCTGATTTAATCTTAAGCCTTTGATGATGCTGAATCTAACAGGAATCTAATGGTAACTCAAATTTTGTAATGAGGAGTAAGTCTGCATATGTAGTTCTTTAAAAGAGCTCAGTGTCCTTCATTTGTTCCGAGTTCTCAATGATCCAATGACAAGTCTGTGTTATGGCGATATTCATGTGCTAAACCCTCTGGCCATTTACCTTCTTTCAGTAGGTCTGTAATGTCTGCCTGGTATTGGGGACCAACGCGGATTTCGCCCTTATCTGCCAAAAGGGTTTTCAGTTGTGGATCATAGACAAGCGAATAAAAAAAAGTGTCCTGAAGAGAAAGGATAAAATAGGAAGATCATTCAATGCAAAATCATATGAAATATGTGCTTGTTCTGAAATTGAAATGCCAAATGCATGAACAGGGATACCCATGTCAGGTCACTTGAACTTTTAAAAAACATCTGGTTATGTTCCTTGCTGGCCTAAGGAAGGATGAATATTGTGGCATGGAGCATTTTCTACTTCATGCTCTCAGGCAGCTAGAGTCTGGTTTGGAAGTAGAGTAAAGCTCCTTCTGCACTGACCCAGGGCAGGTACATTTTGGATTTATTGTCATCCTCTAAACTGGTGCATCAAATAACCTCCAGTCATCTACCATGTGGCTTATATACAGAATAAAGTTACCTCGGTACAGGGCTTCCTCAATCTTTTAGCTTTTGAGGTCCCCTCCAATATTGTAAAAATTCCACTGATCCATGTAACACAAAACATGTATCACTTCTTAGAAAAATTAATTACACGATAAATATGTTTTCAACCATTTTTTGCTTTACTTTCTTATGTTGACTAGAAGAATGGTTATATAATCTCCATTGCAGTACAGGGAGAGGCTGGAAACTGGGAGCACCAAGTGAATCATGAGCATCTGCGTCCTGTTGAAGTGTGAAGGAGGTCTTACAAGAGTCTTCCTTGGTATAGATTTTTTAATCAAACTGTTCTGGCACATCTGTAATGGGTAAGAACCAGAACCCAGACCTTCTGGCCCATAGGTAAGGACACTACCACTGCAGCACACAAGACCGTTGGTGCAAATACAGAGCAGTGACATGAGTGACCTCTGCTGGAAGTAAGAGCCTACTGCAACTGGTATTCTCAGGCAGTCTCATATGCAGGTACTTATCAGGGCTGAAGCTGCCTAACTTCAGAAGATGAGATTTTTTTCAGACCAGCATTTTATTTCATCTAAAACACTTCCGTATACCAAAGTAATATCATCTTTGCACAGACTTAGCTTAAATTTAGATTTTTTTTAGATTTCAAAGTATTGCTAATTAGGAGTTGATCATCTTAAAGTGGTAGGCAATTGTGGAAATAATCTTGGGATAATGCACCTGTGTTGGGTCATTCAATAAGCTCTTTAAGGAGTGTGAAAGAATCCCACAATAACTGTGCTTCTTAGGATTCCATATTCAATGAGCAAAACTTCCTCTATTATGTAAAGTCAGTAAGTCAATTTATTGCACAGATTATTTGAAATTTAGTCATATTAAGCCCAATCCCTTTAAACAATAACTGGAAATTAGATTAATTTTATTTTTCCACCACTGACAAATCAGAGACAATCTAACACAGGATACGGTCCGAACCAGTGCCTAAACCCAACATTGCACTGAGGTGAATGGTATAAAGAGAAAATTCTCTTTGGGTTTCTCCATTGTTACACCGGTTACTGATTTATTTTTTAAAGCAACCTGTTCAGAGATGTTATCACACACCTTTGGAGCAGGTGGGACTTGGAGATAGCATCATAGAACCCCTACAGTGCAGCAAGAGGCCATTCAGCCCATCGAGTCTGCATCTATCCTCCAAAGAGCATCCCACCCAGACTGCTCCAATTCTATCACCAATGCAATTAATTATTCCAATGTGCTCCCCATTGTAAACATGTAACTCCTACTCTTTCTTGAGCCCCTTGACCCGATCATTGTGACTCTCCCTTCTGCATTATTTACTCAAAGATCAAAGAACAGCACAGCACAGCACAGGAACAGGTCCTATGGCCCACTGAGACTACATCGACACGTGTTGCCTTTCTAAACTAAAAACCTTTTTGCCTCTACATGCTTTGTATCCCTCTATTCTCTGCCTATTCATATTAACTGTCAAGCTGCCTCTTAAACATTGCTATTGTAACCGCTTCCACCATCTCCCCTGGCAGTGCATTCCAGGCACTTCCACCCTCTGTGCAAAAAAAAAACTTGCCTCTCTCATTTCATTTAAACTTACCCCATTTACCCTAATTTTTGTCCCCTAGTAAATGCTCCCTCCACTCTCCCATCCAGCACCCCTGACAATCCACACCTTTTAAGTTCCTTTCTACCTGAAGCACCTTTATTAAACCAACTGCATCAGCCCCTTGGAGCTCAGCTCTGCTTGCCTGCCCTGTCAGCTTTGCTCATGTCAGCTGATGTGGCTGTTTCACTTGAACAGGCTTCACCCCTTACAACGTAAACATTTGTGCAAAGAAACACCTTGGTTATGAAGGAGGCAAGTAATGAAGAGGTTTGTACTGTTCAGGGCTTGGAAGGAAAAAAACGATTAACCTACCAGGTATGCGCCTCATATATGTATATGCCTGGTTGTGAACACATGCATTTCGCTCTCTTACCTCACAGTATTGTTATCGTCAGCGAATGTAATTTCAGTGGCTTGGGAGGTTAATGGGTAATAATGGGACGCTACTGAATTGAAAAGAGGTTTGCATCAAGATCAGGAAAACCCCAACCTATTTGAAAGGCTCTGAGAGCTTAGTACAGAAACTTCAACCTGCTGTCAGGAAAATGAATTTTTGTCTTCTGCCCAATTGGGTTCCCCCGCCAGCCATTCTAAAATGATCAGTCTGATAAGGGCCCAAAGGGCAGTTTGACTATATCAAAGATCTCCAATAGAAAATAAACATCTCATTCCTGAAATTTCTTCACAGATCAGTACCTTCACGCTTGGTGTTTGGCCAACTTAACCCAGCAGCTGAACTAGCATTCCTGAGGTGAAGAAGGAGGACAAGAGTTGGAAATAAAGAGAACAGTACCTGGGCCTGGAAGATTCCATTCTTCATCTCTTGAAGGCACTGATGGTTACTACACACAGCATTTTTTTCATTTGAGTGCCTCGACATAGAATGCTTTTAGTTCGTTATTTGGCTATGGGGCATTACCAACAAATTCTATCTTGGCTTCTGAGGAAGTTCTGAGGAAGGGTCACCGGACCCAAAACGTTAACTCTGTTTTCTCCTTCACAGATGCTGCCAGACCTGCTGAGCTTTTCCAGCAACTTTGTTCTTGTTCTATCTTGGCTTCAGCTGGCATCCACATGGTGGCACGCAAACAATTCAGCAGTGGGGGGGTCCTTCATAACAATCTGCAGTGGGATGTTTAAACAATTCTTTTCCCCACTCTCTACCCCAGTCACCCATGTCATCCTTCCCGCCATTCCACAAGTCAGCAAAATCAAGCTCAAGACCCTGCAGATGGTGTGGCTTGGCGCAAGCCTTCATGCTGCATCACAGCATAAAAATACAAGATAAGCAGAAACATAACGACCTGTGGCTAAACAATACAGGTAAATAAAACAAATAACAGAGATACTGAAACACCTGCATTAGACCTAATAGATCACAAACACTTGCAGGACCTTACCTCACGTTCCAGGTAGGATAGAAGTAATTCTGTTTCGTTTAGCAGCGTAACACTGCACTTACCCCTGGAAGGAAAGCAAAAAGCTGTCAGTAAAGATACTATATTTTTCAAAGGGAACATATGCCAAATCATTACACTGTGTTAGTCAGATGGCTGTAGGTTTATCAACTGTGAGACTCCTGAGCAGCGTCAGGGGAGTTCTATGCTGTTGGAGGTGCTGTCTTTCAGATCAGATAGTAAAACATGTTTATGAATCCCCCTCTTAGCAAGATATAAAAAGTTAAATGACACTTTTTCAAGTTACTCTAGGGGATTTTTGCGCTGGGAACAACCAACAACATATGGACCAAGATCCTAAGTAAGTGCTCTTTTCTTGGGGTTTTTTTTTGGGGGGTGAAGGGGGAGGTGGAAGAAACTGAGAGAGAGAGAAAAAGAGAGAGAGACAGAGGGAGAATGGGATGGATGGAGAGGTGTCAGGGTGTCAGAAGCAAGGAGCCAATGTCCAGTCCCTCAATCATGCACAAATCAGTGCTGACTGGTCTTCCATATTCTATCCTCCATAAGCTTCAGGTCATCCAAAAATCTGCTGCCCCTTTCATAATTCGCATTAAATCTCAATCACCCTTCATCCCGTGCTCAGTGATCAACACTGGTTCCTGGTCATGCAGTGGATTTCAAAATTCTCATACTTGTTTCCAAATGCCTCCAAGCTTTCACATTTACCTATCATTGTGCTCTATTCTAATTCCACAAACCTCTGAGATAACTGTACTACTCTAATTCTGTCCTTGTGAGCATCTCCAATTTTAATCACTCCATCGTTGATGGCTACACCATCAGTTATCAAGGTCCTAAGCTGAGAAATTTTGTCCCAAAATTCCTATCTCACTTTTCTCCTCTCTGATATTCTGTAAAACTCAACTCTGACTGTGCATTGGATTCTGGAGAAGTACCAGAGTTTTGGATAATTGCTAATGTGACACCCATATACAAAAAGAGAGGGAGGCAAAAACCGAGTTACTATAGGCCGATTAGCCCAATATCTATTGTTAGAAAAGTATTAGAATCGATCATTAAGGAAATAATAGCAGAGCATTTGGAAAATCACAATGCAGTCTAGTAGAATCAGCATGGCTTCATGAAAGGGAAATCGTGTCTGACTCATTTATTAGACTTTTTCAAAAATGTCTCAACTGGAGTGGATAGAGAGGAAACAGGAGATGCGTTGTATTTGGACTTCCAGAAGGTGTTTGACAAGGTACCTCACTAAAGGTTACATCATACGGTGTTGGAGGTAGTATCTCAGCATACACTGAGAACTGGTTCATGGGAAACAGCAAGTGGGGATGTTTTCTAATCAACCTGTTCAGGGCTCTTATCACATACCAGAGCAGGTGGGATGCGAACCTGGGACTCTTGGCTGAGAGATAGGGACATTCTCACTGCACCACAAGAACCTTAAGTTACAGTAATAAGGGATTATTTCTCAAGTTGGCGACCCACGACTAGTGGGACTCTAGAGGGATCAGTGCTAGGACCACAACTATTTACAATACACATCAATGAGTTTCAGGAAGGAAGTGCATGTACTACAGTCAAATTTGCATACAACACAAAAATAGATGGAAAGGTAGGTTCCAAGAGGGATACAAACATTTTACACACAGATATTGAGATAACAAGGTGTAGAGCTGGATGAACACAGCAGGCCAAGCAGCATCAGAGGAGCAGGAAGGCTGACGTTTCGGGCCTAGACCCTTCATTCAGCTCTACACCTTGTTATCTCAGATTCTCCAGCATCTGCAGTTCCTACTGTCTCTACACACAGATTTTGACAGGTTAACTAAATAGGCAATTAGTTGGCAAATGGAGTATAATCTGGGAAAATATGAAGTTGTTCATTTTGGGAGGGAAAAGAACAGAATATTATTTAAGTGGAGAAAAGCTGCAGAAAGCGGCAACACAAGTGACTTGTGGGTACTTGTATGTGAAACACAGAAAGCTAGCACACAGATACAGCAGGTAATCAGGAAGGCTAATGGAATGCTGGCCCTTATTTCAAGTGGGTTGGAGTATAAGAATAGAGAAGTCTTACTGCAACTGTGCAAGGTGCTGGTGAGAACACATCAGAAGTACTGAGAGCAATTTTGGTCCTCTTATTTAAGGAAAGTTATCATTTCATTGGAAGCAGTTCAGAGAAGGTTCACTAGGATGATCTCTGGTATAGAGGGATTATCCTGTGAACAAGGCTCAACAGGTTGGGACTCTGGTCATTGTAATTTAGAAGAATGAGAGGTGATCTCATTGAAACGTATATAATTCTTAAGAGGCTTGACAGGATAAATACTGAAGGGATGCTGCCCCTCATGAAGGAGTTTAGGACCTGAGGGTATTGTCTCAGAACTAGAGGGTGCGAATTTAAGACTGAGATGAAGAGGAATTTCTTCCTTCAGAGGGTTCTGAGTCTTCTTGCCCCAGAGAACATTTAAGGTTGAGGTAGATAGATTCTTGATCAGTAGGGGAATCGAGAATTGTGGGGGAAACCAGGAAATTTCATAATGTTCCTACAAAGTGCCTTACTACATTAAGAGTAACCTGTTAATATACACTACTGTTGTTGTAGTAGAAGCTTACTGGAAGCTTGAGGGCCATCACATAATAGATTTTTATTGCATAGGAAACCATTCAACCTGACCATTACTTGCCAGTTTTCCACTAAGTGTTTTACATTCTTCTATTCTCCACGCTGGCTTCAACTATTTCAGGTCACTACTGATCCTACTTTTTGTTCACAATTAGCATTTTTCACCAACAGATTATACTGGTCCCATTTACTATTATTCTCAGATTACCCTTTCATGTTTCATTACCATTGCCTTCTGCCTTGCATGACCATCCCATGCATCTTTTAATTCATCTTGCCTTTCCACCCATTAATTCCTTTAATTCATTCCTCCCCTTGCTCACTTTCATATCTCTAAGTCATTAACTTTTATCAGAACTGGAAAAAAAGTCAAATAATGACCTGAAAAGTTAACTCTGTTTCTTTCTCCACAGATGCTACCAGACTTGCCTAGTATTTCTAGGATTTTGTATTTTCAATTTTCAGATTTTCCAACACCCTGCAGTTTTAAGCCTTTGTGTTGGGGGAACCATAAAACAAAGTCATAGACAGTCTTTTCCAGATCCCAACTATTTGCTGCATGAAAATGTCATGCTGTCATTGCTTCCTTCGCCATTCACCTTCTATCAGTGTCATTTGGCTCTAGAGCCGCTCCATCAAGTTCTTGCTGTTTAATTCAGTCAGAACCAGTTAGGGTCAATTCCATTCATGGATTCAAGTCCCATTCCGGAGAGCTAATAAATTTGTCTTCTGGTTATCAACTCTCCTGCCAATGGAACCATTTTAAAACAATTATTTTTTAAGAAGACAAAGAAAGCAGAAAGAATACATTAAAAGTACAAATTGAAGACAAAGGACAGAGAACACATAAAACAAGTAGCAGCACAGCGTAGATTTTCATCGACCCACCTTTGCTAACAATGCATGTAGCTGTTTAAACCCTAAACTCCAGAATTCCCTGACTGTACATTTCCATCTCTCCCACCTCCTTTTAGATGCTGCCAAAACTGTTTGACCAAGCTTTAGGTTAGCTATCCTAATTCCTTCTAGGGGTTGGAGTCAAATTAACTACATAATTCCAAGTTAGTGTTATTGCACCTGCCACCTTTCCTGCCAAGCAAGAAAGGAAGGGAATCAATGGGAAGACTTGACCAAGAAGAATTAGGAAAAACCAGGAGTGGACATCCAATGACTGAGCAAGACACAACGTTCCCCATCATTAAGCCTGTAACCACAGATAAGCTCTTTCACCGCTCCCACAGTTACCTGATGTGGGTTGCTGGTAAAGATTCTAGCTGCCGTGACAGGAAGAGTTCCCGGTGCTTCAGCTGGTGCCGCTCATTCTCTGATAGCTCCTGTAGTTCTGTGTTCTCCATCTCCTCTTCCACTTCCCCTGTACAAAGATCAAAGACCCTGGATCACAGTGATGATCTCCCACTCTTCCAAATCTTACTATCATACTATATTACAGAATAAAATCACTCCTCAAATGTCAAATAAATTCACAACAAAAAACATCAGCGTTAGCCAACATTCCCTTGATTTTCCCTTGCCCCGATTGTGCATGGCCCCTTTGACTGTAATTTGACAGGGTCAACTTGTCCAGTCATCATGGGAGCTTTTAAGCTGCTATACAGCTCCGTAGTTTAGAGGGATCATTAGTGCCAATGTGGCTCAGTGGCGTGCTCCCCCACAATTAATGGGTTACCCTCTTGGGTTTGCCAACTCACCTGATCTCATTGCTCCTGAGGTTTCCTGGCCCTAGCTGTCACCTCTTCAGCATGAGTATGCAATCCCTCTACACATCGACCACCATTAGGACAGTCAGAAGGCTCTCCACTTCTTCTTTGAAGCAAAGCCTGAACAGTTCTCATTCTCCACCATCCTCCTTCACCTGGCTGAGCTCATTCCTACATTCGATAACTTCTCCTTTAACTCATCTCACTTTCTCCAAATCAAAGATACCCATGGTACCCACATGCATCCCAGCTACGCATGTCCCTTTGGGAAGTATGTAGAATATTTCTTGTTCCAGTCTTACTCTGGTCCCTACCTATCTTTCTCCAATACATTGATGATGTTACAGAATTGGAAAATTAATTACTTTTGCGTATCATTTCCATCCATCATTCCTGTTCACCTAGTACATCTCTGACTCTACCATTCCCTTCCTTTAGTTTGTTTTCCATTTCTGGGGATAAGCTGTCCACCAATATCCACTATAAACCTAATGACTTCCAGGTAACCAGGCCCTCAGGCATGTCCAACTCATTTCCTACATTCTGTCCTCACCCTTTCGTCTCCCAGACCAATGATATGATTCCACTTCTCCTCATTTTCCACCCCCCACCCCGAGTGTCCGCAATCAAAAGATCATCCTCCACTACTTCCACCACCTCCAGCAGGATATCTTCCCCTTTTTTCCAGTTTCAGCATTCCACACGGACCATGCCTTCCATGATAACCTTGTCCAATTCTCCATCACCTATGACGTTTCCTCACTCCCCCTTGACACAATCTCATGCAATTACAGAAGGTGTGACACTTGCTCTTTCATTTCCTGCCGCCTCACAGTCCAAGGCCCCAAACACAACTTCCAGGTGAAACATCAGTTTATCTATACTACTTTCAATCTAGCCTACTGTATTCGCTGCTCACAAATGTACTCTCCTTTACAGTGGTGAGACTGAATGCAAACTGGACCATTTTGCAGAATACCTCAACTCTGTGATGGAAACTGGGGACCCTTTAAAACCATGTTCTTTTAGAAATCTATATTTCATATTTTCTGTGTCACAAGAGACCTCATTTAACTGCATTACAGTAGTAACAAGCCTTCTACAAGCGTAAAATGTATTAGGCCTCACACTATTATGAATGTAGTGTTTTGGTAAGTAAGAAGTTATTCCTTAGAAGGAATGAAAACTAATCTTCACATGGAGATGGGCAAAGGATACAGCGGTCACCCACATGTCACGAGTAGTTGCCCGCAGTCAATGGCCAACAGGTGATTGGAGGCTAGCAATCTATGCTGTGTCGAAAGTAAAGGTCCATCAACAGTTAAAGCAGGAAGAAAGAAAGAGAGGATCCAAGGGAACAAGCCACCATCTTCTTGGTAGAAGATCAGGACTTCCTCAACATCAGTCAAATGTAAAAACAAAGACTGTTACCAGCAAAGAATGCACAACATCAGGGGTACTTCACTGCGCCAACACGCTACCCCCCAAGTCTTCAAAACACCACCTTTGCTCCTCCATTCTACAGAATGGCTTTGGGATCAGTAAAGCATAAAAACCAGGAGTCGTAGGCCATTCAAGCCTGCTCTGCTATTCAATATGATCGTATCTTGGTCCAAATCTAAACAAAAGATCTAATGCCCAGAGTGAATGAGAGTGACTGCACTTGACATCAAAACTTTCTGAATGGAATCAAATCTAGCATAAAGGAAGACGGCTGTGGTTGTTGGAGGCCAAGCATCTTAACCCCAGATGTCCTAGGCTCAAACATCTTTAGCTACTTCATCAATGATCTATCATTTATCGTAAGATCAGAACTGGAGTTAATTAAGGATTATATAGTATTCATCTCCACTCGCAACCTCTCAAATAATGAAGCAGTCCATTACCACATGTAGCAAGATTTACACAAAATGCATTCTTGGGCTGATGACTAACATTCACACTACACATGCCAACCAATGGCAATCTGCAGCAAGAAGAATGACATTCAGCCAAACTCAACATTAAAGTCATTTAGGGATAACCACTCACTTGCTGAACTGGATCTGTCATCTGAGCTCCTTGGTTACAGAGCAGGTCAAAGGCTGGGTATTCCTCAGTGAGTGACTCACCTACTGACTCTAAGAGTCTTTCTCTAGGTACAAATCAGGGTATGATACAATATTTTCCACATGTCTGGATGAATCCATGTCCTACAATATTCAAGAAGCCGCTTGACTGACCTTAAACACAAGCATACAGTATCATATGCTGAATCTGCAGCATTAAACAGCATCTTCTAAGCCCATGACCTTATACTTGCCAAACTATTTTCAAATTTGACCCCACATTAACACTTGAAACATCAATGTGACCCGAGTTTAACAAACACAAAATAGTAATAAAGCAGCATAGCAACAGTTATAATTATTCATTCTTGTAGCATGGATCAACATCTAATTATTCAATCATACAAATAAGCAAATCTGTTTTATAAGTACCCTATAAAATCATAAATATTTTGTGTTTATAAAAGTTTCAACCTCCATATTCCTGCCCCCTCCAAATGCACAGTTCTCAGTGCCACTCTTTTCTCTCCTTCGCACACAGTAATCAGGCTCCTTTCCTCCTTCCCATCCAGTACACACATACCAACCCTGTCTCCATCACTCTGACAGAGAAAATTCCACAGGCTAACAACCTTTTGAGAGAAAAATTCCTTCTCAAGTCGGTCTTAAATAGGAAACAACTTATCATTAAACTGTGTTCCATCCTGTCAAGAGATAGTAGGAACTGCAGATGCTGGAGAATCTGAGACAACAAGGCATAGAGCTGGATGAACACAGCAGGCCAAGCAGCATCATAGGAGCAGGAAGGCTGACGTTTCGGCCCGCTGTGTTCATCCAGCTCTACACCTTGTTATCCC